TGTGTGCCATTGATTAAAAGATTTTTTTCTTCTTTTTAAAGATTAATTACTTTCTAGCCATCGTAACTGATAGAAAAGGCTTCTTTTCTTTATCAACTATAATCTGTCTCCTCTCTAGTGGAGGAGACAGAAAATTGTTTGATGAGTATCGCTTCTCCCCACTTAATCATTAATAATACTCAATGAGAACAGTCATTTGTAATGTCACAATTAGGTGGCTCTTTCTAAAAAAGTGAAATTAAAAATTTCTTATTTTTAAAATTGTTACATCACAATTACACATATATATGGAATACAATTTGATGTTTCGATGCATATCTATGTTATGTAATAATCCACTCGGGGTATGCTGTAGTTTGGAAAGGGTTTGTTTGTACCTACTAAGTCTCATGTTAAAATTTGATCCCCAGTGTTGGAGGGAGGGCCTGGTGGAAGATGTTTGAGTCATGGGGACAGATTCCTCATGAATGGCTTGGTGACATTCTTAAAGGAGTGAATTCTCACTCTTGTTCCCTTGAGAACTAGTTGTTGAAAAGAGCCTGGCACCTTCTCTCTCTCTCTCTCTCTCTCTCTCTCTCTCTCTCTCTCTCTCTCTGTCTCTCTCCATTTGGCAGCCTCCCCTTCACCTTCTGCCATGAGTGGAAGCTTTCTGATCTCTCATCAAAAGCGATATTGGTACCATGCTTCTTGTGCAGAGCCATGAGCCAAATAAACCTCTTTGTAAATTACCCAGCCTCAGCTATTCCTTTACAGCAACAAAAATGGACTAAGACAAAGTAGTTAGTCAATCCATCACCCCATGCATTTACCATTCCCTTGCAGTGACAACATTCATATAAGCTATTTTCTATTATGCTATATTTTATTGCCAACCATAGTCACCCTACTGTGTAATAGAATACCAGAATTTAGTCCTTTTAGCTGAATATAGCTTTCTGTCTGTTGACCAACCTCTCCCCATCCTCTATTCCCCATTCCATCCCCAGTCTCTTGTAACTACTGTTTCATTCTCTGTTTCTATGATAGTAATAAAATGTAGAATTGTTGATAAATGCAGGTGACATTTAATACAAATCCTTTATAGATTTCAAAGTGACATCTTTGTAAAAGAGCTATGTTAATTCCACAGAACCTACTGTGTGAAGATGGTACCATTGCCTTGTTCTTAAGGGCAAGTTATTTTATTTGACTCAAATATTCAAAGCTCTAACAAGATCTAAGCCCTTTTAAAAGATGACTTACTTATATTAGATATTATTGGACCACCAGAATATGATAAATGTGAAGACTCTGATCAGCATAGTGTTGGTGGTGTGATAGTTAATTTTATTTGTCAACTTGACTGGGACATGGGGTACCTGGATACTTGGTTAAACATTATTTTAGGATGTACCTATGAGGGTGTTTGAATGAGTAGATTGAATAAAGCAGACTGGCCTCTCCTATGTGGGTAAGCCTCATCCAATGCTTTGAAGGCCTGAACAGGATAAAATGCTGAGTGAGAAAAAAATTCTTTGTCTTTAGTTGGAACATTAGTCCTCCAACCTTTGGCCTCAGACTTGGACTGGAACTTGTACCACTAGCTTTCCTGAGTTCGCAGCCTGGTGGTTGCCAATCTTGAACTTCTTAGCTTCCATAATTATGTGAATCCATTTATTATAGTAAATCTCTGGAGAACCCAGACTAATACAGTTGAAAATGTATGTGCATATATATATATACACACACACATACACATACTTTTATATATGTATATAAAATTTAAGATATATATATATATCTCTTCATAACCAGTGTTATTAATAGCTCTCTAAAATGTGTAGGAAAAGAGTACACATTTCAAGTTGATATCCAAATCAATCTCTCCATAAATGCATAAAACTTTTGCTTTCATTTTGCAAGAAAAAAATATTGCTATGGATGGAATTAGACATAGAAGCTTATAGTTTTCAGATAGAAGAGCATGATCTCATTTAACAATTAAATAATGCCCTTTAACATGTCTACATCTATGTATATTTACATGAATTCCTGTTTAAGCTACAGATAAGCCATAGGCATATGAGTGCATTTATGTTTGTAAATTAAACTGAGAAGAGCAAACATATCATTAGCTCTTCAACTACGTGATTATATGGTTTTAACATGACTCATGGTGAAACATGACAGCTCGTATGAACACTAGATAGTCACAGACAGTAATGTGTAAAAGACACTTTTCTGTAATTGGTCCCAGGGCAAAGGGCTGATCGCTTGTATAAAAGCTTCCAGATATGCATTTGGTCTGGCTTCTAATTAGTGAAACAAAAAAGAGCTGAACTTTGGAAATTGTGATGAGTCCGTGATCTTTTTTCCTTTAAGGAAATAATCACTTTGCCCTTGAACTCCAAAAGGCCTTGAAATCAACTGATTCTCCTCTTAAGCTCCTTAACAAGCATGGGGATTAGAGGCAAGCAGTGCAGAATGGTTCATATTAGATATAAATGATAATGGACAATAGAAATTCACCTGTGAATAAAGTACAGTCACCCTGGGCAAGCTCCTTTCACTGAGTTTATTTTTTTTTATAAGATATTGTGATTCTCCTGTTGCAAAACTATGCATAATGCAGATATATGGTAAGACTACTGGAGAGAATGAAGTTGAATGCAAAGATCTACTTAAAAGCAGCTCTTTATAAAATGCTGCAAGTGGTAATAGTGGTAAATAAATGAAGTCAAATATACAATGAAAATAAAATATAATTAAAATGACTGCCTATATATTTCTTAATTTAACAGAATAATTTAGCCTAACTCCATCACTTCATTTTTATAAAGAAATAAAATTGTGAATTAAAAAAAAACCCATAACCATAGTCTTCCAATTTTAATTCCAGAATCTTGTGCATGTCTTCACATTTATTCTTAAATATAAAGAAAGTAAACAAATTCTACATCAAAGTGATCTGTTTGTACTTGATCCTTTTTGGCCACAGTCCTGCTGATCTGTGTGTATAATTTTTTGCCTGCTGTTGATCCTATTCTCTCCCCTTAAATGAAGAGTTTCACTTATTGCCGTACACCTTGAAGGGAGGCACATTCTGCACACAGTCTGAAGATGTAGCATGAATTACCTCTCCCTCTGCCACCCACCCCCAAGAAGAGAATAAAGTGTAATGGACCAAGGAGGAGAGTGGGGAGAGGGAAGGATGGGGAAATGAAATACAGCAGGTTTGGGAAAAGGATATAGCTTTTGTGATTAATATTAAAGTTCTGAGCTCACAGACATCAAATTTTTTTCTCTCTTCCTAAGATTTGGATGAACCATACTATTCCTGGCTTGGAGCAAGAGTCTCATACTAAATGATACTAAATATCAGGAATGAAAATGTCCTAACATTTTTTGCTTCTTAAAAACCTTTGAAGTTCAACTGAGTGTTGGAAGATACCCTGCAGGTTTCAGAACTTGCCAGTACCATATATGCATTCCTTTGACCTCGTCAGCCTCCCTGTTGTGTTTATCCCATCTCATACACATATTCTCTTCCATATTTGTTTGGGCTTAATTAATATTTATATGGGTTGATATGCTTATCACTTCAAAATAAATCTGAAGCCTAGTTGATCATTAAGTTTTTAACTCCATGGAAGCTTCTAGTTACAGAAGTTCATTTGCAGTTATGTATACAACCAGCATATATCGAACATGTCTTACATTCCAAGCACTGTGCTGAGGGCTGAGGGTGCAAAAATAAGTAAGGCACAGTCACTAGTCTCAAGAGTCTCACTGATTAAGGTTATAGACCTGGTGTCCAGCAGATACAAAGCCTGGCATAGTAGATGGTAAGTGGAGGCTCAGAGGAAGTTGATGGATGGCATTTCTACTTATGATGACAATGGAAAGGGGCTGTGGCAAACTCAGTGGTGTTTGACTTGTTTAAAGGGGTGGTCAAACCCCAGCTTCAGCTGTTTCTTGCTATATAGAAATGTTAGTTAATTGTGCCAGATATTCTGAGATTTTAGGAAAGCTTGCAAATCTATATTTTATGAGAGTTCGTAAAATAATTTAATATAGATTCATTCTTTTTTTTTTTTTTTAATTTGAGATAGAGTCTCACTCTGTCCTCCAGGCTGGAGTGCCATGGCATGATCTAGGCTTACTGCAACCTCTGCTTCCTGGGTTCAAGTGATTCTCCTGCCTCAGCCTCCCGAATAGCTGGGATTACAACTGTGCGCCACCACACCTGGCTAATTTTTTGTAGACACGGAGATTCACCATGTTAGCCAGGCTGGTTTTTTTTTTTTTTTTTTTGAGATGGAGTCTTGCTCTGTGCCCCAGGCTGGAGTGCAGTGGGGCGATCTCGGCTCACTGCAAGCTCCGCCCCCCGGGTTCACACCATGCCATTCTCCTGCCTCAGCCTCCCAAGTAGCTGGGACTACAGGCGCCCACCACCACACCCGGCTAGTTTTTTGTATTTTTTTAGTAGAGATGGGGTTTCACGGTGTTAGCCAGGATGGGCCAGGCTGGTTTTGAACTCCAGACCTCAAGTGATCTACCTGCCTCAGCTTCCCAAAGTGTTGGGATTACAGACGTGAGCCACCACACCCAGCCTAGGTTCAATTTTTAAAGTGTGTTCTCACAAAACATGTTTTGTCACCTTTGTTATGTAATCTGTTCGTCAATTCAATTTAATCTCATCATATGACTGCTGGCTATAATTAGGGGCCTTCTCAAATCAATGTAGAATATAGTTATGCCTCAACAACAACGACTTTTCTAAATATAATGTTTTATGTTTCAGTAGGGAGGTAGCATGGTTTGGACCTTTGTCCCTTCCAAACCTCATGTTGAAGTGAAATTCCCAGTTTGGCAGACAGGACACAGTGGAAGGTGTTTAGGTCATTGGAATGGATCCCTTATGAATGGCTTTGCATCCTCCCCTTGGTGATGAGTGAGTTCTTGCTCTGAGTTCACCTGAGATCTGGTTGTTTATTTTATTTTAGTTTTGTAATACCCCGAGGGGGTGCACCATTCCTGGAGGTACTGCAATACCAAGTTAATGCATGGAGCGGATGGAGCAAGCTTCTATTCCATCTCCAAAATCTATTTAATATATTGTCCTTGGATGGAGGATGTATCAGATATTAAACCGATAAGAACAGATACTACACTTGATCTTAGCCAAAAGGCCGAGAAGCGATAGATCTGGCTGTTTAAAAGTTCGTGGCACCTCCCCCTTCTCTCTCTTTCTAGTTTTCTTGCCACGTGACTGACTGCCTGCTCCCGCTTAGCCTCTGTTATGAATAAAAGCTCCCTGAGGCCTCTACAGAAGCTGAGCAGATGCCAGCACCATGCTTGTACAGCCTGCAGAACGATGAGCCGATTACCTCTTTCCTTTATAAATTACCCAGTCTCAGGTATTCCTTTATAATAGCTCAAATGGACTAACAGGAAATTTCCATTTTATTGGTCAGTATAGGCTATGGTAACACATGGTAATTATTGACTCCATTAAATCAATGGCTATGAAAACAAGACATGTGTTTCTTACTTCTATTGCATAGTTATTATTTTTAGGCTGCAATTGTACTCCAAGTTGTCTTCTCCTTGGGCTCAAGGATGATAAATCTATCTCTATCTAGAACGTTGGTGTCCATCATGGGCAAGAGAAAAGCAGCACAATCTCTTAAAGCATTGGCTTGGAATTGCCACCTGACACTGGAACACACTGGCCAAAGCAAGACATTTGACCACGGAGTGGGGAAATACAATCCACACTCACTGAGATGAGAGGGAGCAGTCATTCATGAATAGTAATGTTACTGAAAAACTATTTTCCATTAGCTTAGTGTCATTTGGCAGTAGCTACTACCTTAGTTTTCTGAAGGTGAAACCCTCAATGCCCTCACTATTGACTTCCTTTGGTTTAGGAAACCACCAGGTATGGCCATTTGGTGAAAATAAAAGCGAACGTCCACTCATTTTTCTAGAAGGAAACCATGAGAGCCTCTAAAATTTAAATGCAGTTCTTATTAAGCTGAGGATGCTAAAAGTACTATTTAGTAATGTGAATTGGAGAACTCTTTGACCCTTGTCAAAGGTGGAAGCAGAGTCCAAAAGAACAATGTAATGTTCTTTACATGGAGTTATTTAAGGACTCAATAGCCTAGATTAGGGATCAACAAACTAAGTAAGCCCTTGGACCAAATTCAGCCTGCAGCCTGTTTTTGTTAATACAGTTTATTGGGACACAGCTATGTCCTTTTGGTTACAGATTACCTGTATCTCATTTCCCACTATGATGGCATAGTGAGTTGTTGCCACAGAGACTGTAAAGAGCACAGGGCCTGAAATATTTACTATCTATCTGGTCTCCACAAAAAAGTTTGTTGATTCCTCACTTAGGTTAAATATTATTATGATTATCTGAGCTACTGATTTATTTATTCATTAACAAAATATATGATTATATGTATCGTTATATGTCTAATTCTGTGCAAGATGTTGGGTGTACTAATGAACAAAATAGAGTCTTACTCTTATGCAAGTTATAGCCTAGTGGGAAAGACAGATATTAAATAAATTCTCCATTAAATAAACCTAAATTTTACACTAAATAATGTGGGGCAAAGAAGAAGGACTCATAAATACATATAATAAAAGGAACTAATTTAGATGGGAAGGTCAACTACATCTTCCTTAAGGATATGATTATAGAGCTGAGATCGAAAATCTGAGTCAACCAAGTGATGAGAGGAGCATGTGCAAAGGTCCTGGGGAAAGACAGAAGCTTGCTACATATAAAGAAATGGAAGACTTTTGGTAGTTCTAGTGAAAGAGAGTATGGGCTACAATAGCAGTGAAGATGAAGAAAAATGAGTAATTTTTAAGGGACATGTAGGAGGTTGAATCAACAGGTCTTGGTAATAGATAAGAGACAGATATTAGTGAGAAAAGGGAATTAAGAAGGACAATCAAGTTCCTGACCAACCCAGCTAGATGGATGGCTGATGACATAGAATCATGACGAGAGCCAAGTTTGGAAAATGGCTTTGAAAAGAGCTGAAGGACATTCAATGACGTGGCGGACATCCTGGTGAAGATGAGTTTTGGGTCTAAACCTCAAAGGGATGTTTGAGCCAAAGTATGACGTAAGCAACCAGCGTACAAGATTTTTTGTACAAAGAAAAGAGATAAGGGTCTTGGGGCTGAGTTTTGAGGTCCCTCAACATGTCACAGCTGAGTTGAACAGGATATGAGGGCCCAGAGCACGCCAAAAGAGCATTGTTTTACCGCTGGAAGAAATCAGTGGAAGAGAGTGCTTGAAGGAGGAAGTAGCTCACAGATGCACTATTAGGGTATTAAACAAGAGACCCAGGACAATGATTGGAGTCAACCTCTCCAGATCCATTGCTCTGAGAAACTAGTGTGAGAATGGCAACAAGTGGTCACAAGTGGATTTTTGGCAACACCATGAGTCAGTTGTAGCACAGAGTGGTTTCTTTTGGAAGACAAACTATGTTTCTTGCCAATGCCAAAGTCACCAGTATCTTTTTTAAAACAAATTGAGTGAATATTCCTGGAATGAGTCTTTGAGGATATCTGGAGAAGAATTGGTTTCCTGAGACTTATAGGAAGAAGCTCAGAATTGTAACAATGTATTGAATTGATGTTATTATTTTGTTTTGTTCTCCAAACATATTATACCTCCCAATGACCTCTTCACATACTAAAAATGAACAAACAAAAATGTACACCGAAGTTTTCTAAATGCACAAGCACCAAAGGTCCAGTGCAGTGTGCACAGAAAAGTGAGATAATGCTTAAACTAAATTAATTCATATAATCAAGGAAGTCAAAACCACCAGTGATCAGAAAAATGTTCTCTCTACAAAATTCATAAGGACCTTGTAGAAGATGGTGAACATTGGCCCTGTGCCAATTGGCCTATTTTTGTTTCCTGTTAAGCTCTTTCATGACACATTCTTCCTAATTTTATCCACTTGACCTTTCATTGCTCAAATGCACCACCCCCTAGTCTATCTCAGTGCCTTAGCACAGGCTATTCCCTTTGCCCAGAATGCCCCTTCTGCATCCTGACCTCTGGAACCTGTGAGTATGTTACCATACACACTAAAAGGAACTTTGCAGATGTGATTCAGTTAGGGATTTTGATAGGAGGAGATTATCCTGGATTCTCCAGGTGGGCCCAATGTAATCATAAGATTTCTTATGAGAAAGAGGCAGGAGGGGGGTCAGAATGAGAGACAGAGATGTGAGGATGGAAGCAGAGGTCAGAAAGGAGAGCAGATGCTACACTACTGGCTTTGAAGATGGAGGAAGGAGCCATGAGCCACAGAACCCACCTAGCCTCAGACACTGGAAAAGGCAAGGGAATGAATTGTCCTTAGAGTCTTAAGAAACGAGTCCTGTCCATACCTTGATTTTAGCCCAATGTGACTCATTTCCAACTCTGACCTCCAGGAATATAAGACATACGTATTGATTTAAGTCACTAAGTTTGCATCAATTTATTATGGCAGCAACTATTAATAAAAGTTATTAATAACTAATAATATTCAAAGAACTATTAATAATTAATAATACCCAAGTAACCTCTCTGTTCCTATGCAATTTCTTCCAGAAATTCTTTCAGGACATTCCATTTTAGACCAGATGCCCCCTCCCATCATAAATAGTCAAACTCCCCATGACTTTTCCTTTGGAGTTCATGGAACCGTTTGACACTGTATTTGTGGGATCGTTATTCTGCTGTCTGCTCCCACATTTCCTGTTAAGCAGACAAGGTCATGGCTCATCCAAGGCAAAGAATAAATGAAGGGATGAATGAATGAGTATTGTAGAGGTATTGGTGGTGATTTTTTTGGTACTAAAAAAGTTAGAGTTAAGAAAGGAAGTAGAAGGAAGTGGTTTGCATTTTATGTTATCCAGTTTCATTTTCATTCTAACCCTTTGCTCAAGCAGTGTTTCTCCTTTAGTTCACCTGGGAGAGAACTAAAAAGCATGACAATGTTGACGTCCTTCTCTTACCCTTGTCAGAGAGTGTGCAGGCTCAAAAGTAGCGGGCTTAGAGTGCTTGCCTTTATCCATACATGCATTAAGCTGGATTGCTAGGGGTGAGATGCAGTGCAGAAATAACGAAACTTTAAATGTCATTCTTCAGACTCAAAGTATTAAAATTCATCTTGTTCTGCAAAATACAACAAACTCTATTATTTTGTTGAATGCTGACATAGATGAACACAATACCTTATTATCTATCTAGTGCTTACCAGAGATGTCAGTTGCAAGCATCAAACCAAAGCTAGTGGGTTTAAACAGGGAACACATGTTTTTTGAGCCACCAGAGAAATGGGAAGAATGGAGTAGCAGGCATAGAAAATAGAGGCAAATAGAAAGTGGGCAGCAGTCAGGACTAGGCTTGTAAACACATCACTCTTGCCCTGATGAGCTCAGATACTGCAGCACATTGTCCACCATCACCAAACCCTCCTGGCTCTGTCTCCTGTCACCTACACTCCATTTCTGGCACCTCAGCTCCCTCTACACCTAGGTAATTAGATGTTGCTACTGCTGCATCTGCTGCTGCCAAAATCAATGGTTCTCTGCTCCATCTGTGAGCATCATTGGCCCCCGATTCATGTCCTGGGATGCTACTGGCTGGCCCAAGGGCACATGCTCATGCCCCTACAACAGGGGAAGCTGGGAAATGAGCATGCAGTCTCTCTGGCTTCTATAGAGAGAAGGGGATGCTGTCTCCTAACAAGGTTTCATTTTGGAAGAAAGGCCATCCAAGAATGATTTGAATTTTTTTTAAAAAAATAAAAAGCTCACATTCACACAAGCAGCATCCTTCTTTACATAGTCTGAAGAACGTAAATTTAGAAACTTAGAGTTTAAGTGATCCTGTTGTAAAATATAACTCCCTTGGTGTGAATTATTTTTCTGTGACCTTGGGCAATTTACTTAACCTTTATCCACAGGTAAAGTGCTGAGCCCGGGCCTGGCTCTCAAGACATATTACCTATTATTTTATAATCTAAGCTCTATCCATCCTTTTTGTCAAAGTCAGCATGATGTAGAAATATCTCATGTTTTTGGAGAGTCTGTTGGCCTTGCAGAGAATTGGGTACTGTTAGTATGTTCAAACAGGGTTCCTATTTTCAATTGCACCTGGATT